GAAACATTTTTCGGAGAATGGCCTCATCCACAAGCAAAAACAAAGTGCGTAATGCGATTGGCTGCTTTGAACAGAAGGATCCAGGAACTTTATCATGGCGACGATATTGCCACCATCAGTTCACTTTAAGAGACGATAATTTTGTTGTTGTATGTTGCAATACTCCGTATAGATTGGCTGCAGGTCTTGTTAGTCATTTATATCGCAAACACTGGTAACCGAAATGATATCACAACTGGCACGAAACTGCATCCATTTGCCCCCGGGGCGGGGGCATAAGTAACTAAAGTAACTAAATTAGATTACACCACTCTGTACATCTTTCCAGAATCTTCAAAATAAAGCAAGCAAAAATTATTATGGCATGTCAATTTGCATTTTAGAATTGCTTGATGTTCAAGTTTGTACTTTGCATATATATGATGTCTATAAAGAATGGATGGAGATATTTTCCATGTAATTCTATGTATATAATTGTTATACTAGCTGTCATATATTAATCACGCCCGACCTACTGACCCAAATTTTTAGGTGCATGGACATGGGAAACAGAGTATTAAAAAACGATGCCCTAATTGTTATATCTACGTTAGGATTTAAACTTTTTAAAGCAGAGATTGGTGTCTAATGTTGATGAATACGCTGTAAGGCTGTGCGATGGAATCAAAAACGTTACTTTACCATGTGAGGGATTCCTCGACAGGAAAAAACGTTCTTGGGAAAATAATCGAGCTACGAAAAAATAATCCGAAACATCAATTTGTTCTCGAGTCTGATGATGGGCGGGTACACAGAGCGTTTCATCGGCTTTTGAGTTACACTAAGTAATAGAATGAAATGAGATGTGAATTACTCTTTCTCGGAGAATAGCAATCGTTATGTTAGTCCTCGAATGAAACAGAAGGCCCAACCATCTCCGAAGCGGAACAGAACGACACGGGGCAGAAGAATGGGAAGGGGAAGAGGACGAGGAAGAAGAGGCAAGCAAGCGAGAAGTGTCAGCCGAACAGCACAGGCTGCGCAAGATACCCACACACAGCGAGAAGCAAGACAGAAATTGCTAGAGGTAAATAATAACGTATTATAACGTAAATAAACGTAATAGTAACGTTAGTACGTTACTAACGTAATATTAATGCAGAGTAGATAAAGATGAGTGCCGGGGAAACTCTCCCATTGTTGGGTGCATCCATTGGTTTTTCGGGGGTGCAGTGGCAGCAGTTTGCCATTTATGCATTGCTCGCCATTGGTTGCGTGGGGATTATCTGGTTCTATTGTAAGAAAACTAAGCCAGGGTGTTGTTATCGACGTCGTTTCGCACCCGCTCCCGTACTTTTCTCAACACGACCTGCGGCCTCGCCTACCCTTACGCGGGACGCCGTTGTAGGGCCGACACCGCCGCCGGATCTAGTTGAGTCTAGCCAGCCTGAACCACCCACCCCACCATCCCCTCCTTCCTTGCCTACGACCCCGCAGGAAACCGTAGAGTTACAGACGTATTTGCATGCTTAAGGGTGTTGGGAGATATAGTTATNGGCGTCCGTACAACAACTACCCGACTGACCGTGGGGAGTTGGACGAGGACGCCCCATCCACTGCCAGGACAAATGCGGGCATCATCTACCGACCGACTCACCCGTACCGGACCAACCGATCTACCTTGACGATCAGCTCAGCCTCCTTAAGAAGGAACATCGGGCGGCAGTTACCACGTTGGAGATGACGCTTGCGCGTGCCAACGCTGCATGCGCAGAGGCCGGGAGGAAGGCTGACCGCGAGAGACACGCGTCCACCAGCATGCTCACCGACCTAGCCAGGCGCGCACACTCGCTGCAGGCAAACCTGGACTACGCCCGGATCGACTTCAGCCAGGTCCTCCATGAGAAGCAGAACCTTCAGATTCAATTGCAGCATTCACAATCTCGCATGAACGACCTGAGGGTAGAGTTCAGCAGAACATTAGCCGAGAACTACAGCCTGTGGTGCGAACTATCCAGCGCTCGGAGAGCGCCACACTTCACTCTCGAGGAGCAACAAGACACCAAGACACCAGGACACCAGGACGACAGCACGACCTCACTCATCCCCGACCCGTCGGCTCGCCATCAACGCCATCGGCCTCAATCGCCTAAAATGATTTATTCTTCTGCCCTCTTCCTTTTCCTTCCATCACTCTGTTCATTACAAATGCCTTTTCGCTACTTTCCCTTTCGGCACGTCCCACTCTCCTGGCCCACCTCGGAGCCTACTCTTTCCCTAAGCTCCTTTCCATAAACACGTATCAGCCTAATGGTTACCTTTCATTCCCTAGTATTTCCTATATCATTGCCCATTTACTGCTTATCGATTACCCATTTATTGCCTATGTTATGTATTTCATATTGCTTGCTTATTTTATTATAGTATTGCGTTTCCACTGCCGTATTTCCACGTGTTTTAATTCGAAATTGTTCATAACAGTTTTGATTTACTGCGGATACGTTTGAAATGTTATTGTTGTTACCATGAATTTTGCTTTCACCTGCTCACGTGCTTCAATTTTGTGTTGCCGCTACATTTCGCGCTAAGTTTTCCTACATTTCTGCTTTACATGCTATTCTTATTACTGCACTTTATAAGTATGCTTCTTTGCTTTGCTCATTTTTATCCTAGTGCATTTCCTGCCTTTCGCCAATCACTGCTAACGGCTACATCTTCCAACTACCTATGCCACCCCTTCGTTAATCTAAAGTCACATCAAACTTGCCTAAAGTAATAGGATCTTCAATCACGACAGCAAATGACATTACCGTTGCTCTCCACCCGGAAATTTTACACCCTATTTCAGTAGAGCAGTCGGAGCTGCAGTGACAATGGGTCATTGTCTTTCCTCGGCGTAGGGGGAAATGTAGCAACGTTGATATCATTATGCGAACGCATTTGGTAACAGGCCACACACACACTAATGCTACACACACCAACAGCAGTGTGGAAGGATTTATCGGATGACCACTCACAAATATGTTAACAGTAGGCCCACAATAAACAACATTAGCTTGGCTACAAATGACATACACATGTTGGCGGCATCACTGCCCATGTAGGACATGTCAAGTTATAACAAATAGCAGTTAAATATACACCAAGGCCGTATCACTACGTCCGTTTTAGCAACAGTCGGCAAAGAACAAACACACGTTAAGCACAACTTGGGTTCAACACATCTGAACACATGCACCGTGGCCGGAATAAAGATATTTCCAGGAGGCTGATGACCGGCCTGTTTGTAAACCTATCGGACCTCCTACGACATACCTATACCACCTACGTTGGGCACCCACGTGGCCAAGAGGGGGGCGTAAACGCAGTCCCACTCGTTCCTCACTATTGGTCGTCCACCCAATCTCCCTCTAGAAAACTGACCATCGCCACTAATCCCAACCTTCTACCGTCCTTGCAGCCAGCAGTGATTGGTAGCAGCATATTAGGTAAGGAATTCACAGCTCGTTTTACAAAGAGGGGTATAAAAGAGCCCGCGCGGAAGAGACGGGGCTCTCGTGTATTCATCCCTCTGTTGTTTAGAGTGTATGTGCATTTTAGAGAACCTATAGTCTACCCTGTGTGACTTGTACTGATTTTCGCCCACGATAACCCTTCATCACAATGGCAGAAATGGAAGATGCGACATTCGCTGTAGGCGTCCGTACAACAACTACCCGACTGACCGTGGGGAGTTGGACGAGGACGCCCCATCCACTGCCAGGACAAATGCGGGCATCAGCTACCGACCGACTCACCGGTACCGGACCAACCGATCTACCTTGACAATCAGCCCAGCCTCCTTAAGAAGGAACATCGGACGGCAGTTACCACGTTAGAGATGACGCTTGCGCGTGCCAACGCTGCATGCTCACGTACACGCAGGTACACGCACGTGCACGCGGGTACACGCACGTACACGCGGGTACACGGAGATACATGCACGTGCACGCACGTACACGCGGGTACATGGACCTACACGCACGTACACGCGGGTACACGCACGTACCCCCATGCTACACTTGGCGCCCTATAGATTTCGTTACAAACTCATTCACTTGCAGTAGCTTGATTTCGTTACGAAATCAATGATTTTGTAACGAAATCAAGTCATGCGACACTTGCCGCGCCAGTGCGCCAAGGGTAGCATGATTTCGTAACGAAATCACTCGCAGTAGCTGATTTCGTACGATGTGTGGTCCCCTTGTGAATAAGCTGTTAATGCGACTTTCAATGCAAACGTAAAAACTTGTGTGTAAAATTACTGTCCTGTTCGATAAAACATAGATATTTGGGCCTATCAAAACAAACTACCCTTCTCTGATAATTAAAACAGGGGCTTTTCTTAACAAAGTTATTATTTGGTGTGTAGACAGAAACAAACATGCTAATTGAAATTGGTTGGGTATAAAGGGTAGGTCTGCGTACCTGTCGGGTTTGTAGCGTTTCACATTCTAAATAGGCTGCATTTCCTCTATTTCATAGAAAGAACACGTACAGCTACGTATGCCGAGTTCGTGGCTGGTAAGTTCAGTTACAGATTATTTTTGCTGAAACAGTTTTTAGTTAACGCCAATTTGGCTATAACTTAATCGTCAGTGAATGCTGCTACTGTATTATTATACAGGAGTTTGCACGCGCTAATCACAATATTTTATGTTTCCCTAGAACCTAGAACCCCACTAGAACCTATAACACCGCTAGAACCTCGATCAGATTTGACAAGCACTAGCAGAGTCGCTGATGGTAAGTTAAAGTTTGTCATAATTAGGTTAATGGTTTTAGCAGACTTGATGACAAGAAGTTACGATAAATGTGTGCATCAGTGTTTGCTGTGGCAATAGTTTGCAAACGTGTACATCTTATTATCAGAATATTAATTTCCAGTATAAATTTTGGCACTTGCATAAAAGAAGAACAAGTAACATAAAATATGTTTGCTCGTTCTAACCATGCAGGTGGTTTATTTTACGGAAAACCATTTACAAAAGTATAGTTCAATAACAATGTGCTATATTTATACACACTGTTTGCAGTGTTTGCTGCTCACAAACGACGAGCGCAAGAACATAGAAGGACCCATTTCCCGTCGAAAGCGAAAAGGGCTAAGAAAGATTATGTTAAGGTGATATATTTAAATAGAAGGCTATTACTGACTTTTTTGGGTCCATATGTTGTTTTACAGATCTAGTCTAATAATTAGTGATGGTTATGGCCATCGTATTCATTGAAGATTTACTTTCTATGACCATAGATAAATGTCGGCGTAGCGGAAAGAGATGCCTGCGGGGGAGCGTTGAAGAGAGTTCGAGGGACCACAATGGACTTGAAGTGGAATCGTGTGCGTCAAAAGAAGAAATAACCAAGGCAGCCCTACCATTGCTGCAAGAACTGACAAGGTTTTATTCTTTCCTATGTTTACTAGAGTGCATTAATAGTATCAGGAGTAATATAATAGCTAGGGGATCTCTTTAGGGCTTTCATATTATGTATTATGTGTATATATATCGTATATTACGTTAGAAGCAAGCACGTAGCCAGGGAGGGGGGTCCTGGGCCCTAGGACCTCACAATCAAAATAAAATCAATTGATTATAAAGCACTATTT